TGGGTGGCTTGGCATTTTGCTGGCTTGTGTTTTTCCTTGGTGGTCATCTCTGGAAGGCACAATTTTGGACCCAGTGCTTGACCGTGGAACAACAGGTCTCTGCTGTGATCTGTTTTGCCCTTTTTCACGGCTCAGTTGCGTCCCTGTCTGGATTATGGGTCTCTAACAACAGTGGTCTACACACTGGTAGTCTGAAAAACTGACTGCTGTAGTGCACTCTAAGTGGGTCTTCCCTTGAAGCTGCTCTGGAAGCTTCAGGAGGTCCAGAATGCAGTGGCCAGGTTGATTGCTGGGATGGAGAATTCAGCATTATCACCCCAGCCGTGCTCCACCTGCACTTGTTACCAATCCACTTTTGTGCCAGGTTCAAGGTTCTGGTACTAACATATAAAGCCCTAGATGGTTTGAGACCTCATTACCTGTCAGAATGTCCTCTTCCAGGTTCTACTGCCTATTTTACTCGGTCCTCTCCAGCCTCATGCCTGCAGATGTTGACAGCAAGAGAAGCCTGTAACACTTCAGCAAGGAATAGGACTTTCTGGGCAGTGGCACCTTTCCTTTGGAATACCCTTCTGCAGGAAATATACCAAGTGCTGTCCCTTTGGGGCCTTTAAGAAGTTCTGAAAAGTGGAACTCTTTGGGGAAGCGTTTGGGGAGGCCCTCCTCAGTAAATGAGAGAAGGAAAGAAAGAATACTCATTAGAATGCCTTATTGTCAATAGCTTGTTTTGGTGTGTAGTAGTTATAGTTATTTATAGCATTTTGTTGTAGTTGGTCAGTTTTATAATATGCACTATTTGTTTCATGAGAAGAGAAGACTCCCTGGAAAAGATGCTGATGTTAGGAAAGTGCGAAGGCAGGAGGAGAAAGGGACGACAGAGGATGTGATGGTTGGACGGTGTCATTGAAGCTACCAACGTGAATTTGCCACAACTCCAGGAGGCAGTGGAAGACAGGAAGCCCTGGCGTGCTCTGGTCTATAGGGTCACGACTAAACGACTAAACAACAACAATTTGTTTGGTGTATTATTGCTAACCACCAGAGTTTGTTAGATGGGTGGTATAAAACCAAAAAAATAATAAATCCGGCCACCCTGGCCCTCAGATATTTTTCCAAACATTTTCCACACCTACACACTGCATTGGTGGCTTGTGCAGTGAGCATGGAGGGCTTCACCTCATCTTTTCAGGTATACCATAAGGTGGCTTATGGTATACCTGAATTTGCCATCAGGTGTACATTCATCAAAGAGTTGCATCCAGTCCCTGATCTCTAATAAGCATATCCATTTTGTACCTAGAAACAACAAGGATTTTGGTGGCACCTTAAAGGCTAAGCAAGTTTTATGTGCCAGAAACCTTCATGGGCTATATTCCACTTCTTCGGATGCAACTACAGACATGGGTTACAGTCAGCAAAAGCTTATGGCAAATAGAAGACCTTAGTCTTAAAGGTGACCCAAGACAACTTAGATCTGTGTATATCTGCCTAGCGCTGGCTCCCTATAGCAGTGTCCCTTGGGGGTACTGGTTTGCTCAGTATTAATGGCACAATGCTGACAATCTTTTAAAGGCACTTTTATGGAACTTTGAAGTACATACAGATTAAGAGAGTGTCTAATTGATGAGAAACTGCTCAACAACTTTATGTATCAGTGAAGGTTTATGGCATATAAAAGGAAATGAATAAGTAATAATGGTTATCATAGAAGCAGAAACGTTAAAAGGACATTTTTGTTTTGCAGGAACTATGGTGAACTTTGCATGTTTATACAGATAGAGGTGAACAACTCCCAGAAGCTAGAAAAAAGGAAAATAATGCATTGTAAATGGGGATGCTTCAACATTTAAAGGACAATAAACACAAATTGTTGCTTCTAAGTGAAAGAATACACAAATAAATTATTGATAATGGAGTGATATTATTTTAAAGAGCCGGAAAATGTGTCATTTAAGAAAATAACTTGAGTATATCCTTACAACTAAAGTTTTTAAAGTGATGCAGGAAAGCTTGCTACAAGTCCATTGTACCACTCAGAAGCAGCGATATGATAGCCAGATCCAACTCCAGGAATTTGTTCCTGGGCAAAAGGTGCTCCTTTTACCATCAGAGGCAGCTAAACTCTTTGCCCAATGGCAGGGGCCCTTTGAAGTGATAAGAAGGGTTGGACTGTTGATTATGAGGTCTGGGTCCCAGACCACAGCCGTCCCACAAAGATCTTTCATGTAAATCTTCTGAAAAAATGGACAGGAAGGCTCTCTATGGAGCCATTGAAGGCCCTGAACTGGGACCCAAAGGTAAAACCATTTCCTCTTCAGTGGTGGACAGGTGGGACTTGGCAAAGGTATTAAGTCCTCAGAAGCAGCAACAGTTAAGAGCCTTCAAACATGAGTTCACCGATGTTCTATCTCACAGGCCGGGACGTACCAACTTGGTGGAACATCATATTGAGACTGACCCAGGGGTGTTGGTACGCTCAGCTGCTCGGACTTGGCCCCAACATCTAAGACACGTAATTATAGACAAGGTTAACTCCATGTTGGATATGGGAGTAATTGAGCCCTCCAACAGCCCTTGGCGTAGCCACCCGGTCCTTGTTCCTAAGCCCGATGCCAGCATCCGGTTCTGTGTGGATTTCTGGCTGGTAAACATGGTGTCAAAATCTGACACCTACCCCATGCCCCAGGTGGACAAGCTGATATAGAGGTTGGGGAGGGCCACTTATCTTTTCTCCCTTGATCTCACCAAGGGATATGCACATACCCCTCTGGGACATGGATCGGGTGTCAAGACTTCGCAGCCGCATACATAGATGATATCATTATCTTTAGCCAGTCCTGGGAAGAACAGTTGGGTCATTTGAGGGCAGTACTGGAGGAGTTAAGGAAAGCTGGGCTGACAGGAAACCCACGGACATGTAAGTTGGTGCAAGCACAGGTGCCATATCTAGGCTTTATGGTAGCGGAAAGAGAAATTTGACCCATGGGGGATAAAGTTACAAAGGTGTCCTCCTGGCCCCATCCAAGAACGAAACGAAAAGTGATTCCTGGGCCTTGCAGGGTACTACAGGCAATTCATAGCCCATTTTTCAGATATTGGTGCTCCCCTAATGGACCTCACCCGCAAAAGAGCCCCTATGCTGGTCCAATGGGGAACCCCGGTGCAGCGGGCTTTTCAAGAATTAAAACACTTTGTTCAACTCCTATCCGGCAGCCCCCTGATTTCTCTCGCCCTTTAATTTTACTTACGGATGCCTTGGAAAGAGGACTCGGGGCTATTTTGGCCCAGCATTATGAGGATGGGGAGTACTCTGTTCTATTTCTCAGCTGGAAATTATCACCCCAGGAGCAGAGGTACGCTGCAATTGAGCAATAGGCTCTGGCCATCAAGTGGACTACAGAATCTCTACGGTATTACTTATTAGAATCTGTGCTTTTCAGCTGTAGCATCTTCCACTGTTTCTGCTAAAATACATATTGTCTATCTGGCATGAAGCCTTTCAGATGCTGAGAAACAATTAGCACTTTTGTTTTAAGGACCTCTAAGATCTGATGGTGCTAAAATGCGTTGCTGCCATGGCATCAAATCTTTAATCACCAGCACTGGTAAAAAGGTTGGTAATAACCAATTGACAGCAGTTCTGGATTTGAAGCACCCTGAATACTAAGCATGTATGCTGCCTTATTATGCCCCATTCTTAATACTGATGGACCGAAACGATTATTCTTTAGTGTATTTGGTTTAACATGGGGGAAAGGGTGTAGACAAAGGAAAATGGGCTCCAGAGAAGGAAAATATAAAAAGGAGAATTGATTACATAGCCAGAGTGTAATTTTCACTTTTGAAGGAAATGTCTAGCAATTTTCAGAAGTTCACATTAGCTTCTTGCTGCTCATGAGGACAATCTACTATGTCACTGGAATTTTAGACATAGTATAGTTGAATTGCTGGGACTTGGATCTGTTCTAACATGGTTGACATAAAAGTCTGTTTTACCTATTATTAACAGTCTTCAGCAGCCATGAAATATGTCCATAAAAATAAAGCTCTTAGTTGTTGTATGTACTTCTGTTGTGCCTTTTTCTTTTGCAAACTACAAGGTAACCATGCTTTTAAAAGTAAATTATTTCCTAGTACTGGATAGAGCTGAGTAGATCCTGAATGGAAAAATGTTCTTGTCCATAAGGCAGCAGCCAAAACCCGATGGAGGGAGGGACGGAGGGATAGATGGATGGACGGACGGCGGACGGATGGATGGATGGACAGATGGACAGACGGATGGATGGATCCCGTCTTTCTCCTTAAAAGGACCCAAAGCAGGGTCCTAAGTACTGCATTTGGGTTGGTTTGTTTTTAGTCTACCATATTTCACATCACTTTATGAAATACTCTTGTCATATATCAAACGGGAGTTTCTAGTCTAAGACAATTGGCATCAGATTGAATGATGCATAATATTATTCACTTCAGTAGTCAGCAGTATTTGTAATAAAGCAAGGCTTTTTTTAAAAAAAAATTGTTCTGGAATTAATAATCCAACTTTTTACAAAAATGAAATAATGGCTTATGCTACAGTACTTTGTATTTATAAGGAGGAATTGTTGTTAAATACAGGGGCTGGAGTCCTACTGATAGGTATTTGTGTAAGATCTGCATAACTTGCTGTGGCTAATTGAGACCAATTGATGAACCATCTGGGTGCATTTCAGTTGCACAATTGAATTAGCCATGACAAGTTACACAAACCACACATGAATACCAGTTGAATTCTGGCTAGTGAAACAAGTACTTCAGAGTTAAAATTTCAGGATTATGGTCCATCCTTATTTGTAGCCAATGGCTGCACTTGGTAATACAATTTCCAAGGGGGACGGAATCCACATTGGTGAGTAAAATATATGTTAAAGTCTTACTTGAATAATTAACTTTGCCATGTTCTATATTGTATATAAGTCATTATTGAATTTTTCATGACCTGAATTTTGTTTTGCCTTTTCCAGGTAATGTCGTGGTCTTGTGGTCGACATGCAAGACATCAGTTTTTAAATCGGTAACTAACCGGTTTATTAAGAACTTGGCCTGCTCCGGGATCTGTGCCAGCCTAGTCTGTGTGCCTTTTGACATTGTCCTCAGTGCCAGCCCGCACTGCTGCTGGTGGATCTATACTATGGTCTTCTGTAAGATCATCAAATTCTTGCACAAAGTCTTCTGTTCAGTGACCATCCTCAGCTTTCCTGCCATTGCTCTGGATAGGTAAAGCAGTGAAGTTATCTCTCAACCACAGCAGCTAATTAAAGGGCTTTTCCCCCCGATACACATTTTAGGTTAATAGAGCAAAACTGACAGAGAATATTGTGGCATCTTAAAGCCCAACCTGTTTTATTTGATACAAGCTTTTCTGGGTTGCAGCCCACTTCTTCAGGTGCAACTGTTTTATTAAGGTATATCTGAAGAAGTAGGCTGCAATCCATTGAAGCTTATGCTGGTGGATAAACTTGCAGATTCTAAGGTGCCACAAGACTTTGTTGGTCTTGCTATAATAGATTAGCATGGTCGTTCCCCTGGTGGTTTTAATATTGCTTTTTTAAAAAGTGGTTCGATGACTTAAGCCTTCTGAACATTGATATATCCAATCCATTGTTACAGCTGCTTAAAGCAACATTTTAAGTTTGCAGCCATTCTGCATAATAAATTATTTTTACTCACTTGTTGAAGATGGAAATTTTCTATGGTGGCTGGATTTTAAAAGTGTGACTGGCCAATATTTTAAGAGGTGACAGCCGAAATAACTCTCTAGCCCTAGGGCCAAAAATAAAGATTTCAAGAACCATTGTGTTTTTGCACAAAGAGAGATGGTGAATTCTGATCCTCTCACTGTCCTGCTATCTTGGAATCTTCTAACCATTTTAAATGTCAATGGGCAGTAGAAGTTCCTCTCTGCAGAAATGACATGTTTTATCCTTTCTTTATAGTGCCTCTTTGAGGACACATCAATATAGACCCTTCCAATGCTATGCACCCAGGACATCAGGCATGCAAACAGAGCCAGGCAATCTCCCATTTGACTAGTAACAAAACAAAAACAAGTTAATGGTTGTTGTGAGTTTTTCAGGCTCTTTGGCTGTGTTCTGAAGGTTGTCCTTCCTAACGTTTCACCAGTCTCTGTGGCCGGCATCTTCAGAGGACAGGAGTAGCACTCTGTGCTCTGGTGCAGTTTGTTTGGGAGTTGAGTATTTATAGCTGTGGGATGAGCTTTTGTCCTTTTCAGGAGATAGGTGACTATGGTGATCAGTGTGTTTTTGTTGTGGGTGTATTGTTGTGAAAACCTTCACAAATACAAAAAACAAGTTAACTTGTCAAATGCAGATTGAGGCAAGCTCATGTTAGAAGAAACAATCTTTTCCTAAGGATGCACTGCTTCTGAATATGGAATCATTGTCTAGTGAGCTATTGATTGGTCTCTATTAGCAAAAAGATTTGACAGTGTCAGCTAATAGTGCACTTCCATCTGTAAAAAGAAAAGAAGAATATGCAGAGTTTTAGCTGTTGGTTTCTTAAAATACATACTTGACCTTAGAGTTTTCTCTGATGTAATAATAGGTTGTGTATTAGAACTGTTTTGTTATATCTATTTCATTTAGTGAAGTTGTTCAGACCAGATTTTTAAAAATCATGAGATACTTTAAAGTAGGATTTGATACTTCTTGTCTTGGATATTCTTTCTCAGACAGAAAAGGAGTTTGACATAGAGGATAGAACAAATCCTGCAGGACTGAGAGGTAGAACTCCAACAACAGTGAATAATAGATGTAATTTAAAAGTGCATTTTAAAAAAAGGAAAACTCTCATTCTTTTCTGTGGGCAAAATAACATGGAAACCAGTAATCAACCATGACTCTACTGTGGCTAGATCCACCGTAGAACTCGATTATGCATAATGACCTGGTGAGAAACAGCATTTTTGTATCAAAGTATCACTATCCAGTCACGGTGTTCCATCATCCCAATTTAAAGCAATCCATTGTCTGGGGAAGATGGAGGTAAGAAGTTGTAATCTGCATGCTGTGTACATTATGACTTGATTTGTCTCTTATATACCCTTCTTCTTTTCTTTGGTAGGTACTATTCAGTTTTGTACCCACTGGAACGAAAGATATCAGATGCCAAATCCCGAGATCTGGTCATCTACATCTGGGCCCACGCAGTTGTGGCCAGCATTCCCGTATTTGCTGTGACTAGTGTGTCCGATATTTATGCTATGTCCACTTGTACTGAACCTTGGAGCTATTCCATTGGTCATTTAGCATATGTTATTATTTACAACATTACCACTGTGATTTTGCCAGTGGCTGTGGTGTTTCTCTTCATGATCCTCATCCGGAGAGCGCTGAGTGCCAGCCAAAAGAAAAAAGTCATCATAGCTGCCTTAAGAACACCTCAAAATACAATTTCTATTCCTTATGCCTCCCAGAGAGAATCTGAACTTCATGCCATGCTGCTTTCCATGGTTATGATTTTTATTTTCTGCAGTATGCCCTATATGACCGTAGTGATTTACCGCACCATACGTGATGCTTCTGACACTTCTGTGTACTTGCTTCTCACTGCCATCTGGTTGCCCAAGATATCACTGCTAACCAACCCACTGCTCTTCCTGACTGTTAACAAATCTGTGAGGAAATGTTTGGTAGGGACAATGGTGCAGTTGCACCGAAGGTATAGTAGGAGGAATGTTGTCAGCTCTGGAGGTGCTGTGGACGTCAACCTAGAGCCTCATGTCCGTTCAGGTAGCCAGCTCCTAGAGATGTTTCACATTGGACAACAGCAAATTTTCAAGCCTGCAGAGGATGAAGAGGAGAATGAGACTAAATCCATTGGCTCCAGCAACTACCAACAGAAAGAAATGCCTACCACTAGCTTAGAGGTAGAACAGACTTTAGTCCAGAGGACTGTGCCTCATGCAGTTGCAGACTCTTCTGCGCAGGTGGCTCCCGCAATGCCAACAGAGGCGGAACTGGCTAATGAGAAGTATTCCATGCAACTTGGCTTTGGGCCCTTTGAGCTGCCTCCACAGTGGCTGTCAGAAAATCGGAACAGCAAGAAACGCCTTCTGCCCCCTCTGGGAAATACCCCAGAGGAGCTAATCCAGACCAAGCAGCCCAAGTGTAGAGCAGAAAGAAAAGTGAACAGGAACAATAAAATCAGCATCTTCCCCAAGGTGGACTCCTAGTAAAATGAAGACTTTGTGGGATGAGACAGGACTGTCTTTGTGCATATATGTGATCCTATGGATCTTTCTTTGGATGACATTTATTAGAGGCGTATTTTGGTGCCAATTTATGTAGAAACAAACAAACAAACAAAAACAAAAGTGTTCCTTAAGAGTGGGGTTTTGAAACAGACACCTAACCTTTAATCCATTTCACCAAATTCATTTTTGGCCCCTACCTAGAGGACCCAAAATGGTATCTCTGGGCTCTTCCTAGCCCAAAAACTACTTCCACCCTTCTGAAATATCCCACTGCAATCTCGAAGACAAGCCGAGGGCAGCACATCTGTGCACTTTTTGATTACAGAGAAGCATTAATTGTTGCTGCTGTACACTTACGGGACTTGGAGAAAGAAATTCAATCAGCCCCATTCCCCAAACCCTGTAACACCTTTTGCTCTTACAGAGAAAGCACTGAGCATCTTTTAGGACAGGAAGTGGACAACGTCCAAAGGTTCAGAAACCACACATGAGTTCCTCTGGACCTTGCAAGACTGCCCTCTGGCCTCCACACACAATTATTTTAAAAAATAATAATAGCAACACTGTCTTTTGTACCTTCAAAGAGTCATGGGGATAATTTCACTACATTTTTGAACCTTTTGCCTTTTCTAGGCCTGGGATGAGGTGGGCCTTTTTTTTTCTTTTCAAAATGGGAAATGACCTAAAATTACTTTCAATGTCATTTCCTGTTTTGAAGAAACACACACCGGGATTTATAAGGCTGGGAAGGGGACAAACATACTGCCAAATTGGCTGACTGGAAGAACTGAGAATGCAAATCTGCAAGCCATGCTTTCCCCTCCTTTGGGTTAGGAGCACTACATGTAATCTAGCTTGGGGTATCTCCTAGCAGCCAAATTTAAATCGTGGGCTCTTCAGGTCTGCTTCAGAGTGTAGTAAGGTTTTCCCCACTTCCTTCTTGCAGTATGTTGATGTCAAAAGCATCTGATGGGCCCTCTTATTGTTGAGATGAGTGTGAACTAAACAGGTACATGATTTGCACAGTATTTTTACCTGGTGCTGACATTTTTCTAGACTAAGTGCAGCAGCAAAAATGCTCAGCAGAGCAGCAGCAACATGGCATTACAGAAGTGAAGATATTAATAATTTTTTTAAATAATACCACATGAAAATGGACATAGCAAATTTTAATTCTACCCACCCCAGAAAAACATGAATATATGACAGCTGATTTAAAACTAATGATCACTGTGTCAAAACGTTTCCTGTGATTCTTTGTATGGAATATTTCCTGTGCCTTTGCAATGTAGCATGACCACTTCCATGTAAAACGGCACTGAGGCAGCAGTAACTATTTTGTCTGGTATACAGTGAATTAAAAACAAGTGCCACTGACTGAGGATAGGTTCTTGACTGTAAAATATTTTCACATTCTCCGTGATCCAAATATAGAAAATACTTCATCATAAGGACTTTTTAATTCATTGCAAGAAAAACAAAGAATTCCAAATGTCAATTATTTGAACTTTTATCTTTAATTCTTCATATTTTGATCTGCATAGTTTGAGTTTAGTATAACTTGGTTTGTTTATAGGAAAAGGAAAGGTTTTAAAATGCAGAATTTCCCTAAGAAGTATTACCTATTGATGTCTAAGGGATACATATTTGTACTGCCCATTGAATGAACAAATGGAAGGTGAACTTGTGATCTGATTTTTCTTTTTAATCAAGCTGCCACAGAGATTATGCTAACACAATATGGAAGTATAGAAGAAAAACACTGGACTATCATCTCCTATCTTGAATATAAATATTTTATAATACTTTAGGAAAAAAAGTTAACTGAAAAAAGCCTTACAAAATCCTTTTTCTTTTTTAAAAGGCCAACATATTTACAAAGAAAACGAAGAAAAGATGTTATTTCATTCGTCCTGTCCCCCCCGCAAAAATGCATAGTTAGACAGTGTTGTGATATTGAGCAAAAAGCATTGTTAGGACATTAAATAGTTGCTGCAGGTTTTTCGGGCTGTTTGGCTGTGTTCTGGAGGAAGAAAAACCTCCAGAACATGGCCAAACAGCCCAAAAAACCTACAACAACCATTGGATCCCAGCCGTGAATGCCTTCAAGAATACATAGGACATTAAATAGTTTGTCAGGGATGTTTGACATTATAGTACAATATCTACAGGTTCCTCTCACCAACTACCCCAGTCCACAGCTTGTACAAGTGTACCATAGTATAAATAGCATACGTCTATATAAAACATGCACACCATTCCTGGCTGTTTCATGTACTGCTCAACTTTCATGGCATAACACACTTCAGAAGCCAAAGCTAGTTGTAATGAAGAATATGTTAAGTGGCCTCAGACACTTTGCTGTAACTTACCTTCTACTTACTTGTATAGGGTGAATGTGGCTTATTAAAGATTGCACAGTAAGGGTTTATCCATACATAGCATTTGTGACTCCTGTGTCCCTCTTGGGGCTCTCTGCAGGCCAAATAAAATATGTGGAATGTCAAAACCTGTGTCCAACTTCTCTTTTCTTGGAAAAAGTGGCATCCCTTTCAAAAATCTTGAAGGAATCTTTTTAGAAATATTCTTATAGGATGGATTTTTGTTTGTTTTGAATGGTGGTTTAATGTTAATTTACACATCTCCCTGACTTACCCCCTTTACCTGAGCATTTTCCTTTTTATGCCCTTGTCCTCAATTTGCACCCACCTCCATCACTACTCTGTTGCTGCTGCTATCATGACCTTTATATGTTTGTTTCTGCTTCTCCCATCTTCTTTTTTTTCTGCCTGGTGCATGACATTGGGAAAAGGTGCAGGAAAGGAAAAAGAAGCAATAGGTGAGACAAAGGGGAAGCTTGGGGAGGCAGGGCAGAGCAAAGGCATAACGTCAGAGATTACAAGAGGAGACCGCACTAGCAAAGAGATGGCAACAAATAAGTGAGAATGAAAGCTGAGGAGCGGGGGACCATAAGACAGCATAAGAGGCCAAATCCTGACCATTTAATTGAAAAAAATATTCCATAAGCCCTAAACGGCTTGGGCCCTGGATACCTAAAGGCCCGCCTCCTTCCATATGAACCTACCCGGCAGTTAAGATCTAGCCAGGGGGCCCTTTTGAAAGAGCCATCCCTTAAGGAGGTAAGAGGGACGGCTTGTAGACTAAGGGCCTTTTCGGCAGCTGCCCCCAGACTATGGAATGCTTTCCTGACTGAGATTTGTCTGGCGCCGTCGCTGATGACATTTCGGCGCCAGGTCAAAACCTTCCTGTTCCAAAGGGCTTTTAACTGAAATAATATCAGCTGTAGGTCTGATGGCAATTTTTAGAATATATATTTTAATTGCATTTTAATTATTTTGCCCTTTTATTTTGCCTTTTTATTGTATTTTAAATGCTGTAAGCCGCCCAGAGACCTTCGGGTAGTGTGGGCGGCATATAAGTTAAATAAATAAATAAATACAATACAATACAATATCATCACTGGAAAAGTTTCTTATATATATATAAAAAGTTAGGTAACAATTGTGCTGAGGGATTTTCATTTGCTTTGTTCTGGTTTAACATTAATTGAAGCTCTCTCAGGTACAAGAGCAAGGGAAACAAATCCATAGCTGTAAGGGTGATTTTAAAAAGAGGAGAAGGTCACAGAATGTCTGCCTATTCTTCCCAAGATGCCTTGCATTGTCTGGATGATGGGGAAAAAATACTTTGGTGGCCAACCAATTTTGGAGAACAAATGCTTTGTCTGGAACAGCCCTAAGTCAGGCTGGAAATGATTTTGTCGTGTATTTATTTATTTGGAAGCAATCACTTTCTTTTCCATAAATGTAGCCACTTCAAATCACAGCTCTTTACAGACCTCATATTCCTGCTTTACAATGGGTAATTTGTGCATGTTGAGCCATTTGGTACAATTTTGTGTTTTAAATTAATCTACTTTTCCTTTTAAATTGTATTTTGTTGAGAACAAATGGCTTTGCCATGGTTACAATAAACACTACCCCTGAGCAGCTTGTGTTAAAAGTAAGAAGAATGAAATCCAGCATAAGCAGTGCTTATGGGACAAACGTGTTCTTCCCTAAGTATTTCTGAAGCTTCAGAGGGATCTATAGATTCTAGGAGATCTAATAGCTATTTCTACATGCTACTGTTAACAAACTTTGCAATAAAATATGTAAATAGTTTATTATTACAGTGTCAAGTCTCTCCTGTTATGTTACATTTTAGACCAGACAGGTTTCTATCTAGAAGAGGCACACAACTTCAGAACGCAAGCCTTAGCGTTGCCTCAGGTTTCAGTTATTAGAAGTATTTGATGTTGTGAGGTGGGTTGCCAACACTCTCCCAGTGACTTCAAGGAATCTGGGACCTGTAATTTCTATAGTTTGGGGAGCATTAGGGCGCAGCCCTACTACAGGGAATAGAGCAGTTCCAATGTAATGTAACTTTTCCAATATGGGGAATAGACTTGGTATAGAATGGGATGGGCAAATTGTAGTCTCACCATTGGCTGTGCTGACAGGAGCTGATTTGAGATCCAGCCTAACAATATTTGGAAGCCTGTACTTTGTCCTCCCTCACGACACACCACCAACCAAATATTTTAAATTGAATTGCCCTGGTTCTGCCCATAGGGATTATTGTGAACCCATCAGCCAGGCCGTTCAGCTAATTCATCTTGCATAATTCAGTTTAATCAGCAAGCAGCTCAACAAAGTCTAACACCTGTTGATACCTTGATTCTTCCACTGAACTCCAAGGGCATTATATTATTGTACTTATGCAAAATTAACTTAATCCGTTTTACCACATGGTTTGTGGCAAAATGTTAAAAAAACTAATTAATTTCTGCTTCATTAAAAATATTCCAATAATTTTAAACTAATTCTTCTAGGTCCATTTGCCATGTCCAAGCATACAGTATGAGGGAAATACTCCATATCTATAGCAAGCAGAATCATAGAATCACGAAGTTGGAAGAAACCATAGGGGCCATCAAGTCCAACCCCTTGCCATGCAGGAACTCCATCAAAGCACTCCTGACATGGCCATCCAGCCTCTGCTTAAAAACCTCCAGAGAAGGAGACTCCACCACACTCTGAGTCAGCATATTCCACTGCCAACCAGCTCTGACTGTCAGGAAGTTCTTCCTGAGATTCAGGTGGAATCTCTTTCCTGTAGATTGAAACTATTGCTCCTTGTCCTAGTGTCTGTGGAAAACAAACCTGTCCCTTCCTCGATATGACATCCATTCAAATATTTAAACATGGTTATCATGTCCCCTCATGCGAAAGGCTGGACTGGATAAATCCCAAACCGGAATTAAAATTGCTGGAAGAAATATTAACAACCTAAGGTATGCAGATGATACCACTCTGATGGAAGAAAATGAGGAGGAATTAACCTCTTAATGAGGGTGAAAGAATAGAGCTCAAAAAATGATCTGAAGCTCAACATCAAAAACAAAAAACACAAGATCATGGCCATTGGTCCCATCCCCTCCTGCCAAACAGAAGGCGAAGATATGGAGGCAGTGACAGATTTTACTTTCTTGGGCTCCATGATCACTGCAGATGGTGACAGCAGCCATGAAATTAAAAGATGCTTGCTTTTTGGGAGGAAAGCGATGACAAACCTTGACAGCATCCTAAAAAGCAGAGACATCACCTTGCCAACGAAAGTCCGCATAGTCAAAGCTATGGTTTTTCCT